TTTTTTGGCTTTTTTCACCTTGAGTTGTTGTTTGAGGGTGGAAACCATTAGAGTAACATATTGCTGGGGAGTGTAGTCCTCCGATGCAGCATACAGTCCCAATTTGAAATGGTTAATTATGTCATTGCTGCCGATTACAAGGAGAAACAGTGATTTGGCCAAGTGCTCGTGCACTGCAGCCCGCGACCCCAATTCTTTCACTAGCCTTTGGCACACGGTAGAGAAATGTTCCACTTGATGAGCCATTGGGATTGTATGCTTCTACAGTAGTATACACCATACTTAGCATTAGCTATTATACATTTAGTAAGGACAACGCAGTCAAAACCAATGTTCTAAAAGGGGTGAGACGAGACAGAACATCTATCCTAGCAACCATATAAGTTTGAAAAATTCAATGTGTAATTGGAACCATATATGTTTGCTATCCTATGAGGAAAATAAATTTTGATTTTACTCGTTTGTATGTTGACTTACAATGAGGCCTTCGTCCGTGGTGTTGAACACTCCAGCTCCCCCTGAAGCAAAGCTTGCACCTTTGAGAAACACATTGTTTGTCTGGGAAAGGTATGGAAGCGGTGTCGGTAATCCCAATTTTCCAGCTGTAAATCATACCACACATATTAAACAAAGATAATGAATATAAATGCAAATACAAATGCTCGAGTTAGTAGTAGGACTAGAAAAAAAAAAAATAGAAATTATGATTTTAGAAGGTGATCATTGAATAAAGTTGGATTTTTATTTTTGACGTGGCATATTGAGTTTCACTATAAGGTTATACAGTCACAAACTAATGATAACGTAAGGCTAACACGAAGCTGCTAAGGCTAAAACCCGTTGAATACCCCTAATTGATCCATTATGACCGATCGATGGTAGAAGGCATAACAATATGTAGTCAACCTTAACATAGGACATACAAATGTATGGAACAAGATTAATGTTACCTATGATATCTGCTGCATTCTTGCCGTTGGAAAATCTCCCGGTTGCCTCCTCACTTGGAAAGTCAATCCCATTATATGGAAAATTGGCTTTAACAATAGTTAGTGGCAAGTAATTATTGTTCCCAACATCTACGAGCGAGTCCCCAAACACGTACAAAGCTGGGACTGTTCGGGCCCTGCATATATTTGCACAAAGTAACACAGCAAGAATGAATAAGGAGCAAGTATAGTCTATACCAGCCATGTATAATCTGCCCCCTGGCCTTTGTGGCTTTAACTTATGATCTATTTTGCAAGATGAATGATTAAAAGTGATTACAAGTTAGCAGTTTGGATCTTGCAGTGATTGTGGGAGAAGAAAACTTTGATCCTATAGAGTGCAATTCAAATGTGAACTCTGAACTGTCCCAATGTGTGTGGTATATGGATTTTTGCATGAAAAATAGTTTAGAGCCTTTATCTGTCTTTGGCAAATGGAAACTATCATAATCACATTGGTAAGCTACTATGCTGTTGTAATTTTTTCTTTCTCCATTAATTTTGCAGCAACTGATGTCTTGTGTTAGTGAGTAATATGTACAGGACAATATAATACAAGAGGGGCTCATTTGCTTTTGGGATGGGATTGGATTAAACTAGTGTGTAGTGGGTGGATTATAGGGATAAATTTGAACTTATATTTGTCATATATGATTGGATAAAATTATATTAAAACTCATAGTGATATCCTTAATGATAGAGATATGATTTAGACTTTTTTGCTCTCATATCCTATGGGCCAATTTTGTGTGGCCCCTCATTCTTTTTTTTTTTCGAAACTGCAGAATTCATTCACTAAACACATGATTACAACCGGCTCACTTGCCGGAATAGAAGGACTACCCAAGGCAGCCTAAATACCACAACGCACACTACAATACGAAACAAGAAAAATAAAAGCTCCCCACAGGAGAATACACAAACTCCCCACAGGAGAATAACACGTTACTCGAAGAAAGGAGAAAACAAAACACAAGCCACAGAACAACACACCAACAAACACCACACGAGCCCAAAAACAAAACTACACAAAGCTACTAAGATTGCCCCCTCATTCTTTAAACTCAAATAAACTAACATCTGACAAAGTTTCTCTCCTCTCTCTCAAAAATATTTTATAAATCTTCAAAGATATTCTAATTAATATTAATAGTATTATATATATTTATACTTAAGATTCCATGTAGACTGAAATAATTTTATGGATGCCACATTAGTTGTGATCCATAGACCAACATAGAATCCTCTCTTTGCATTCATCTCTTTGTAACATGTGATTCATTAAATTGTGAGTGTCCAAAACATCATATTGACTTCGTTGATTTTCTTCCATCAAACAAAAAGCTACACTAAAATGTGTACATATGAATGGTATTTGCATAAATAAGGGGAAACCTATCATCTTTTTCTCAACTTATCACATAAACTAACATAAAATTTGTGATGTTATTACTTGGCCCCTATATCAGAATTTCGAGCGATTTTGTTCATGTCACCCGCCCACAATTACCTAGATTTATGGAGAAATTCATCTGGCAAACCTTCTTACTCGAGTATGTTCAGAAGAATCCATCCTTTGACTGTATGTTACCGTGCAAAAGCTCATCGAGATTTTGCTCTAAACAATCTGCATAGAAGTTTCTCTAACAAGTACGATCGGTTTTGCCGCTTTTGGCACTTATATCACTACTCACTTTATGTCATCCGATAAAAGACGTGAATGTTCAAAATTTGAAGGGAGGCTCGCAAAGATGGACGAATTAATCCAGATGAATAACTGAAAGTTCTCAACACAATGTTATATGAAACAAGGTGTTTATATATAGAAGTTTGCAAATCATTTTCAGAATATAAACAAACAAGTCAGATGTCATCAAGTAATAAGGTTTCATGAGCTACTAAATGCCGACTAAAATCATGTTGCTTTTCAAATTTCACAGCACATTTATTAGGTGCTAAGTTTCAATGTAACTATTCCGGGAGAGAAAAGAGAAGGAGAAATAGAAGAAATAAAAAGAACATAAAAAAGCATTTTACCTAAAGAAATTTGAATAGCTCAGAACCATTTCAGGTAATAAATAATAATAACACCAACAGCAACAACAACAACAACAACAACAACAACAACAACAACAACAACAACAACAACAACAACAACAACAACAACAAGAATAATAATAATAATAATAATAATAAATAAATAAATTGGACTGCAGGAACATCTCATTCATGGCACCAGTGTTCCAAAAGGGAATATATATCTATATATGTATATGCATGTATGTAGGGAGTGATTCCAATGAAAACCATTCTTCAAATGAGAACATCCCTCTTAACTATGCATCATTAAATATCTAAATGTGCATCAAGTAACTTCTAAACGAGCAGTATATCATTCTTAATGCACGTTTAGAAGTGTAGAAGTGCTCACTTAGAAGAGTGCATTACAAGTTTTGTTTCTCTATTTAAAATATTTTTATTGGTTAATTAATCATAAACAATTTTAATGCATATTTAGAGGACTCTGCATTTTTATTTTAAGAAGTAGTTCCCATTTGAACCATCAAACATTTTGAGAGAGAGAGAGAGAGAGAGTATCTTAAAACCCATCAACCAAGATTTTCAGCAACATGAGTCCCTCAGCTATCAACTTTTTCCAAAACTATGCCATAAAAATAGGCACAGTATCCTCAAATTATCACACTATATCAACAATGAGAGAGACGAAATCCCTGAAATATATTTTGAAAGAGCAAAATGTAGATCCATGAGCAATCAGCTCATCTAAACTTATCTCTCGTTATGAGGGTCATGAAAACAGAGTCATTGTATTCCCGATATGGAACTATATTTTAGCTATAAAGAAATCAATAAACGCAATGAAAAATCAGTGTAATATTGACTATATAGATTATAGAGTATATTGAGGAAGCACGACCTGGGGAACTAATGATAGTTACAGTACATATCATAAAATAAAGAAGATATCACCTTTTAAATACCATGCTTCCAACTTCAGCCCCATATCGGCACATCATAGGACATTCCTTTTCCAGTGCAATAGCAAGAGCACTCAGCTCAAACTGTTCCATTAAATTGTGAATTATTTATGCCGGAGAATGTTCTAATTGGACCTGAAAGGCATCAAACGAAATTCAGCTCGTAAGCATCTTTCAGTTGACTCTATGAAGAGTCTATCTGTTACTGTAGAACTTAGCATTAACCACTTGAGCAGAAGCAGAGAACGTGGATTGATAATGAGATGTTGCTAACTATGGCGTCATTCCTGCAAGCATCAGTAAACAATGCATACCAAGGTACTCTTATTTAAAATTTCTTATCACTTGGGCATGATAAAGATATTTGAAATGAGAGTTATTATCATTTACCACCAAACAGTGAATCCCTTGCCGTGAATTCGGGATTTTCTGATGATCCCTTTGGATAAGATGTCTTTCCTTACTCAATAGTCAATACAAAGAGTCCGAGGCAACTTGCAATCAGTGTCGGGTACCATCAAACACAAGGTCAAGTAAGTTGCCAAGACAGTTGAGAATCATAAACCATCAATAAATATTAGGTTTCTACCATTTTAAGGGTCTCCACAAGATTGACAAGCAATATGTAAACAAATTGCAGAAGGGCCACAAATGTATCAAGAAACTCCTTTAACAAAACAGAGAAAGCCTATTAACCTTTAGCAACCGCTAAGAATATTGCAAACGACTATTAGCCACTATATTATCATGACAACATGCACAAACAGGTAGGGATTCCTCAAAAGGCCAAAATAAATCATTGCACAGTAACAAACTGCAACAAAACACAGCTCTCCAAACAAAATTCAAACTAAATGCCACCCGGCCCGAACTCCTACCCTCCCGCATTGCCCGTCGCATCACAAAATAAAAACTAAAGAATCAGAGAGAATGAGAGGTTACATTATCATCATCATCATCATCAACATCATCATCATCATCATCATCATCATCATCATCATCATCATCATATGGGGACACTACTGACAAGCCTAGCTCCAACTCTATCAAGCTGTTTGATCATGGCCATGGCCTTCAAGTTCCCTTCCTTGGAGAAGGCCTCCACCATTCTCTCCCCAATCTCCAAGCCTCTCTCCTCATCGTCTATCACCGCCACTGCAGTCGGGCCAGCCCCACTTATCGTGCATCCAAAAGCCCCAGCCTCGATGGCCGCTCTCTTCACTGCCTCCATACCGGGAATCAGGGGGGCCCGCCTTGGCTCGACTATCTTGTCCGACGAAAGGGCTTTCCCCAAGCTGAAGAGGTCCCCCTGCAGAACAGAGGCAACCAGAGCCCCCGCCTGGCTGCAGTTCCATATGTGGTCGGACATGGTGATCTCCTGCGGCAGTGCTGCCCTCATCTTCTTGGTGGGAGCCTCGAATTCTGGATTCACCAGAACAAAATGGAGAGCCCTCTCGTCGGGGAACCTGAGCTGGACCAATTCCAGGGGATCGTAGCTCCGGATCAGGACGAAGCCTCCAAGGAGGGAGGGGGCCACGTTGTCCGCGTGGTAGCCGGAGACCTTGGACTCCGACTCCAGACCAGCCAGCACGAGCTCCGACGGAGACAGGCGGCCCCCGAACAGCTCGTTGACGGCGACGGCGGCCGCGGCGGCGCTGGCAGCGCTGGAGCCGAGACCGCTGCCGAGCGGGAGGCCCTTCTCGAGCGAGAGGGAGAGGCCCACGGATCTGACGCCGAGCATCTTCATGACCGCGATGGCGGCTATGCCGGCGCAGTTCCAAAGGGGGTTATTGCTGAGCCTCGAACCGGCGCCGGATATGTGGGAGATGGAAAGCTCGCCGGGCCGGACATCGGGGTCAACCCGGACGCTGACGTGGTCGCCGATTCCGTCGACGGCGCAGCCGAGGAAGTCGAAGCCCGGACCTAGGTTGGCGACGGTGGCGGGAGCGAAGGATCGGACGGAGGAGAAGAGGGGTTGGGGCTCAGCGGAGGATTCAATGGAGGACGATGGTAGAGCAAGGGTGGACGGGTTGAACCTCAGCCGGTTTTGTTGTGGTTTCGATGCGGCGAAGGAGATTGAGTTGAGCTTCAGCTGAGAACAGCATACGCCGGCGGCCATTGGTGAGCGGGTGTTTCAGGTGTCTGGGAGTCTGGAGACCGGCGCTCACAAGATTTGTTATTGGGTTATGAATTAGAGCATTGAAGGCCCATATAATTCTTGAATTTTACTCATTTGCTATTTTTTGTTTTCTCTCTTTTTCATTTTTTTTACTCATTTGCTAATAGAAAGACAAAATAATGAGGTTTGTTTTTAAATAGCATATTCATTAACTAAAACACATAATTATAATTGGCTAACTAACAGGAGAGGACTACTCAAGGTAGTCTAGATACCACAACACACACTACAGAAACAAAAACAAAATAAAAAGTATGACAAGTGGAGAATACATCCTCCCAAAAAGAGTAATACAGTCTCCTAAAGAGCAGAAATCAAATGTAGCAACCCACAAACACACACAGACTAACACAAACCAAACCTAAAAAAATAACGACTAAACTAAAGTCATCCTCTACCACCGACAAGCAACACCATAAGCAGCCACGCAACCAACTGCCAAGAGCCATCACCCCTACGGACTAAGACCCGGTCCATAGCGCCGATCCTAAAACTGCAATAAAAGCCTAACAAGATCCAACCCCCCAAACTCATTGTCTCAAACAGGATGATCGCCCTCGAGTTAGCACACCAGATATCAACCCCAAAGCACAACCCCATTCCTATCAGCAGCCAAAAGCCATACGACCCTCGGAGCCACCGACCTACACCACCAATGAAGCCCGTCCCTAATCCCAGGAACGACAGGAAAACCAGGGGAAGAAGAGCACCATCAACTCCAATCTCGAACCATCTCGTCATCCATCAGGAATTCAAGCCGACACGGCCCCAAATCTGCACCACCCACTATCGGAAGGAGCCCACAGTCAGCACTAGGGAGACAGAGGAAATAGGGGAGAGAAGAACTAACATTGGCTTCGACCATCCCCCGATGCCCAAACGGAGAAATCCTGCCCAACCCTATCATCTCTTCGCCAGCACTCCCTCAGGTCGAGCAGGCAACCGAAAGCAAGACCGACGAAAACCCTATTGGCAGAGAGGCCCACAAATCGATGGTAGACCTAGAGCCTAGGCCGACCGCGGCACTCGCGCAGCGGCGCGACATGCCCCACTGAAGATGTGGTTGAGCATGATCTAGGGAATGAGACAGACGATTTGGTGTATTAAGGTTGAGAGGGAAAAAGAAAAATTTAAAATAACGAGGTTTGGTTTCACAAATAATAAATATTATATTTAAGTTTTATCTGACTTGCCTTTGCAATTTTATATTATTCTTTAGAAAACATAATTTAAACTATGGCCCTTAAAGGAGTCGAGTTTTTTGCTAAACAATTAAAAGCTAGTTATAATTGCGTTTGTTCAACGTTTTTTTTTTTTTTTTTGCCTTAAAAGAGATTTTTCAACTGTTTAACTATTTGACTTTTTTCGATCACCTGGAAAAAAATGTTTGGTAAATAGCTTTTACAGCTAGCTTTTTTTTTTTTTTTTGGCCAATCTGCTAGAATGAAAAACACCATTTTTCCTAGCATTGTGATTTCAGCGGTTCAAGATAAAAAAAAAAAAAATAAAAGTCTTAATTGCCCTATTTATTATTATGTTCATTCCACATAATGGGGGCATAAGGGTGTCTCCAATGGTTAGCTATTTGGCTAGCTATTATGACGTGGACAGGGAAAAAGTAAGAGAGAGAGTAGTCACTAGCTACTAACAAATAGCTTATCTATTTCACGTAGTCCAATATTATGTGAGAGGAATATGTGGGTCCAATAGTGTAAAATAGTTATTTTTCTTATCTCTCGCATCCATGTCAGCTGACTATATAGCTAGTAATAGCTATTACCATTGGAGATGCCCATGAGACAACATTCTCTTTGATACGTCTCATAATTTCAGAAAAAAAAAAATACTTTTATTTGTGATTAAAATTGTACACTACTCTAGCAATAAAATATATATCTCATTTATCATATTTTAAAAATATAAATAATATTTGGGTTTTCAAAATTATAATTAATGTAACATAAAAAAAAAAAATATTTAATTATATAAATGTCATTCCAACTAATTCTAATATAATACTAACAACTAATTTTAACAACTCTTTTTATAAAACTTTAAACATATATAATTTTAGTTATTTAAAGTTAAATGGGAACTTTTAGAAAAATGTTAATGTAAATTTTAGTTATTTTTGTGTTTGTATACTAAATATTTCAATCCATACTCAATTCATACTCACAACTTAACTCAATTTTAACTCATCCATACTATTCTCAATATATATATACATAAAGGTTTGATTATTTTTAAAATCGTAATTATTTCCCGCCAAAAAATATCATCTATTGTATCTAGAAAAAAATCTATTAATATATGGTATAAATCAATTAATATATGGTATAAAGTGGGCAAATTTATTTTTTGGTAGTTTCTATGGAATATAAGTCAATCAATATATGGTATAAAATGAGTAAATTTATTTTTAGTATTTGATAATCATTTATATGGAAGATAAATAAATCAAAGGTAAATAATTTTTTCGAACATGTGACTATACGTGTTTTTGGAATTTTAAACCTAAAGTATTTTTTGTTTTAAAATGCAACCTGAACTACATATATACAATTATTTGCACGCTCAACTACTTTTTGACAGTTCGATCATATGTAAAAAAGGACGTGCATGGTCAAGATGTGGTCGAACGTGCAAATAGTGACTGTATATGAGTTCAGGTTGCATTTTACAAACAAAAATATTGGTTGAAAATCCCAAAAACACGTATTGTACAGGTTGGAAAAAATTATTTACCAGTATAAAGTGGGAAAATATATTTTGATTATTTGATGGCTTTTTTTTAGAAAATTTGATGGAAAAAGTTCTATTACAAGACCCTACTTTTTGTAATTGTATCAATTTAAGGCCTGAATTATGTATCTTAATACATATTTTTGACATAAATTTTAAAATAAATTAATAGTTGAGGATCGTGATGTATAAAAAGAGGGAGATTTTATTTTGACATGAAATGTACGAATTTAAATGGTATGAATTTCATTTGGTATGGATAACAGTATATTTGGAGATTTTAAAAATAAAAAAAAAAGTAGTATGGATTTTATTTAGTATGAGTATGAATGTCGAATATTAGATTGATTTGTTATAAACTCATGGTGACATGATTCTCATATTTTTAGCATGTTGTCATAATAACTTGCCATAAGATGTTGATGATAATTCGACAACTTGGTATGTATTCCTCTTGAAAATTACAAAAATCTTTCAAGAAATATTTGTTAAAAAAATTTAAAATTTGTAAACTAATTATAAAGAATTAGTTGATAAATTTGAATGACAAGGTAACCGACAACAAATCTAGAAATTTCGAGATTAGAAAAATATAGACATATATAAAATATATAAGGGGATTTATTATGTAGTCCAAATTTGAGTTCTATATTTAAAATGCAGATAAGTAATTATTCATAACTTACGGGTTAATATTAACTTGGACGTAAATAGAATAGTCACTTTAGTAAATTACTCAACTACTTAAATCTTTTTAATTGTATAGTTTATACAAAAATAAATTTATTTTAGTTAATGAAATAAATCAATAATATAAATTTTAAAATAATACTTATTTATTATTCACATAGATTTTTAAATATATTGCAAAATTTTGCCAAAATAATAATTTTATTGAACCACATTGTATTCAAATCGAAATTTTGAACAAATAGTTTAAAATTAAATTTTATTTTGAAATGAATATAATATAACTTATTATCATTTATGTGCACCGTACGGTTGTCTACTAGTTTTAAATAGACGCGTTTTAAATAATTTTGCACAATTTAAATTTTATATAATATTTTAAATAAATTAATATAGATAAATTGTATTTACATATTTATCTAATATTTTTAATTTATAATATTATTAATGATCATTTTTATTTTATAAAATATGAGTGAATATCTCTTGCACGGGATTCGTACTAGTTATCAATATAATTAAATAATACCTACAATCGTTCGTTCACATCACATGAACTTTAATTTACTATTCATCCACTCACATAATTTTAATTAACTATCACTTCTTATCATCTATCTCCTGTTTTTTCATCAAATCAACTTTAATTATTATATTTAAAATATTATTTTATTATAAAATCAAAATCTCACTAACAATTAAACATAACACTTTTTCAAAATTAACTCTAATTAACCGAAAAAACTCATTTTGAGCAGATATTTTTGTATAAAAACATGCCCTTAGACTTCGTTTTTTCAAATGTAATGAGAGACATTGCAATTGGTTCACAATTAATTTGTTTTTAAAATGTAATGAGAGACATTGCAATTGGTTCACATTTAATTTGTTTTTAAATAGTGATGAGAGTTATTATCATTGTTTATATGACGTGAACTTATTTTCTCAATTAAGAAATGTTTTATTTTATTATTATTTATATTTTTGTTATATTTGAAATCATTTTGATAAATATTTATAGTATAATTATTTTTATTTCATAAATAATTATAAGTTCAACATAAAAAAGAATGATAAATTATGTCGATGTCCTTATAAGTAATTTTACATGTTAACAGCTAATTCGATACCACTAATTTTTACCAAACGTTTTTTTTTTCACAAACAACTAACATAATCATCTGGTCAAAACAATTAACGCAATCTACTGATCAAATCAGATAATCCAATCAGCTAACAACTCTCAACTCACCACCAATTACCAACAAGGCTATATATGTTAATTTGTCCTAAATTTTTTTAGAAACAAAAAAAGAAAGAAAAGACATGTGACATTGCAAATAACATAGGGATAATTCAAATTTAGCATCCAATTTATGAACCTCAGTTTTTCTTACAATTTTCCCAAAGGTAAGCTCTTTATGTATTAACTAGTATTCTATCTTGTGTACATGCACAAATTCAGATAAAATTTTATACGTTATACATATGTGTGTTTATGTAATATTTAAAATCTTAAGATAATAATAAGCATATCACATTTTATAAATATTATCATTAGTAAGAATGACCGACATAAAATATAAATTAATTAACTTACATATTAATCTTATAATGATGCAATATTGGCTGATATGATCAATTAACTTGATAAAACAATATAGAAATTATTATTATTGTAGCAATTGCGTACGAAATTTTAAAATATTTGTTTATGCAAAAAAAAATAATTAACTATTTAATACTCTTAATGAGTTAAAAAATAAAATAATAATTTTAAATAAATAGTTTAAAAGAAGATTTAGAATATAATAACATTTAATGTTACTTTATTATTTGTTAGTAGTAGCAATTATGTACTAAAATAAATTAAAAAGTATAATCGATTGATTAAAGCAAAAGTAACGGAAAAAAGGCGGGAAAACAAAATGAGTTAGATTGAATTCTTTGCTG